ACCATGGGGTACTTCATCAGGAAAAACATCATCATACATCTTCAATAAGTTAGCAAAACTAGATGGAAGTTTCTTAGAGTCATCCATGGAAAAATAAGTAGGTTTAGAAAGTAATAGCAAACAATGACCTCCATGTTCTAAGCGTAAAGCTTCCTTCCTACACATAAAAATATTAGACCTCTCACTATCGTGTTTAAAATTCCAGCTAGTTTCACCCTGAATCACTACACTCGTGCTTGATTTTTTAGTAGAAGGCTAGAGTATTTGAAAGAGGCTAGGGGTAGATGTATTTATTGGTGAGGATGAAGATTTGAGAGGTTGTAGGGTAGTTAGTCTATATGAGAGAGTAGATGCACTTGTATGCAGAGTACCTTTTGTTACGTGTTATTCTAAGGAGGACTTCAAATTGGACTTCTCACATCGAGTTGATTCAGCGACATAACTCATCATCTTGTTGTCTTTCTTTTGGTTCATTTTCTCTCTTGCTTCATCAGCAAACTGCTTGTACAAGTATTTTTTATCTTCATTTACTTCTCGATGACTCAACGGCTTTAAAACTATGGTCCATCCGGCATGTGTGAAAGTATATCGATTACGGGGGTCATCCTGTACAACTTCTTTGTCAAATTGCCATGGTCTCCCAAATAAAATATGACATGTTTTAATTGGAACTACATCGCATTTTACCTCATCCTTGTAACCTTGTATTTCAATTCCCACCAACACTTGTTTGGTGGCATTGATTTCCCCACAATTATTGAGCCACTGTAGTTTGTAAAGCCTCGGGTGCAAATTCATCCTCAAATTAAGTCTTTTTACTACGAGGTCACTAATGACATTAGTACAACTACCACCGTCAATGATAAGACTACATACTTTAGTAGCAATCTTACACCTTCCATTGAATAAATTTTTGCGTTGTTGGGTATCTTCAACCTCCTTTGGAAAGGTGCTAAGAGCTCAGAGAGTGACTACTGTCAAATTGGACTCCAATATGGATTTTACAGCTTATTGGTTGTAGGAATTCGGCTCATTGACCTCTTCAATTTCTGATTTGGATTTGTACTCACTGAAGGTCGTAAGAACCATAGTATGCTTGTTTGGACATTGATTCGCAAAATGTCCTCGGCCTTGGCATTTGAAACATAACACATCGGCTATGGTTGGTGTTCTTTTGGGAATTTGTTGGCAGCTTAGGGCACGTTGAATCAACTCCCGTTACTTCTTTTTCTTTGTCGATATGTTGTGGAAGCGGCATTTTAGGCAACCCTACAATTGGAAAAAGTTTAAATGGATTACCTTGCATCCGCTTTGATTTTAGTTGCTTCTCCACCTTTATGGCCAATTGTACCATCTCCTCGAGATCCATGTATTGGTATATATCTATCGCATCAACAATATCCCTTTGAAGCCCATTCGAAAATCTAGATATCATTTTCTCCTGATCTTTACGGATATCGGCTTGTAGAAGAAGTGTTTCAAGCTCCTTATAGTAATCCTCTATTGACCGGGACCCTTGTTGTATACTTTGCAATCTCCGCAATACTTCACGATTATAACGAGGGGGAACAAACCTCATTCGTATCAGTGTAAGAAGTTCTATCCAAGTACGCACCGGAGTCTCCCTATTTCTGCAGCGGTTGATGCTCAATTGGTCGCACCATGCAAGGGCATAATCTAAAAACTCCATTACGGCCACATGGAGTTTTTGTTGGTCAGTTAATTTTTTAACATCAAATATTAGTTCTAACTTTCGTTCCCATTGCAAAAATGCTTCAAGGTCGGATTTTCCTTGGAACGGTGGCACTTGAAACTTGATCAAGTTGATAGCCTTTTCTCCATCCCGTCGGTTATGGTTATTATGATACCTAGGTCATTCCCAATTTCCTTCAAACTCCTCATCATCGGGTTCGTTAAATTTGTGTGGGAGTAAGGCCGGATGTTGCATCTTAGCCTCAAATGCGGTTGAACATCATTTCACCTATGAGCTTCAGGTAACGGTCATATATTCTCTTGTAACTTTTGTTGATTCTCTTCCAGTTGATCCATCCTATTATTCATCAATTCCAATCAAGAATGGTGAAGATTTTTAAACTCTTGTAGAATGGTATTGAAAAGACTTTGTACATCAATTTATTGAAAATTGGATCCTTCACCCCCTGCCATTAGAAAGAGAAGAAAGAAAGAAAAAAAAAAAAAAAAAACCTCACTAGAACCCTCGTGTATCACTCCACACCTCATGTACCTCTCCGTCTCGTAAAAATACTCAAATCAAATCGATGGAATTCTCCCAAAGACGATAGCCAAAAAATCCAAAACAGTAGTGAAAGCAAAAGAAATATAATTTCAGAATGGAAGTAGAAGACAAATAATCTAAATAGATTTTTTTTTTTTTTTTGTTTTTTTTGATAAAAGGAAAGATGATTTGAGAACTAAAAGTAAATCATAAATATCTTGAGATTTGATAACAACTTTTTTTTTCTTGTTTTTTTTTTTTTTTTTTGCTCTTTTTTTTGGCTTTTTTTTTGTGTCGTCTCTTGATTAGCACATACCTTTTTGTTTTGGAACAAAACTTGACTAGGTTCGACTCAAATTGATAGAAAACTTAAGCTTAAGGCTCTGATACCATATGAACCGGCCCGACCGTGTGTAATTATAACCAATGTAATTTTCTTACCCAAAAAGTTCAATAGAACAAATGGATTATGAATATGTATAAAACAAAAGAGAAGGAAGAAGAAAAGATAGTGCAGAGAATGTGAATTAGTATGGATGATAACCAACCACGAGAATAAGTTTCAAACCAGAAATCAATCCATGGGCTAAAACACAAACAATAGGCTAAATTCCACTACAAATGATTGGAAGCCACAAACCAATATAATCACTCCAAAGACCCGATTTGAGACTCTAAATGCGAGAAAATCACTCCCTAACACTAGAAATTTATAAAAGTGAAATTTGATTCAAGATGTAAAATTCATTACAATAATAGGCAATGACCTTATATAGAGGTCCTTGAGGAAAATAAAAGGCAACAAATAATAAATGAAACAAACCAAAATGTAAGTCTAACTATAAGGAAAATAATTATGAAAGTTTTAGATATGGAATTATACTATATGGAAACTAATAATAAAAGGAAATATATATTAAGGTAACTTCTAGAAGTCTGCATAAGTGATGATTCCCTTGATAATCTTCTATGATTAGCGATTCTCTTGATCTTTCAACTGAGATTCTTGCGAGTCCCATTGAAGGAGCGTTAGATGAGGGCTAAGTGGCCTCCAAGCATCATCCTTAAATTGATTCTCCATGAAAAATCGTCCGGTCAATGTAGTGACGGATTCTTGAAACTGACGAGCTCGACTTCGAGTGATAGGTTCCACGGGCATTTGAATCCTTGAAGATTGGACGTCCTCGTCAAGATTGGGCACACCAATCGTCGATCAACCACTAGTTTTTGTCTTTCCTTGGTGAGTCTCTAGTTTCTTGTCTCCAAGTTTAGTGTTGAGTCCGAGTATCATGCTCTTGTTGTTTATGTATCCAAACTTCTATGGATTTGTTAGTTATTGTCTGATCTTGGGCCCCCCCATCTTGTGTTTGCTACTCTTCATTGCGAAAGTTAGAGTGTCATAGAGATTGCACACAGTAATGTCTTACATGAGCGTACGAAGCACATCAAGATCGAGTTTCATTTTGTGAGGCAACACGCAGTTGCCAAGACTCATCTGTTGCATCCAATTTTCACTAAGGATCGGCCAACGGATCTCTTTACCAAATCTCTTCTTCCAGGTCATTTTCATGTACTCCTACACAAACTCAAGTTGATGTGTACGGCACCACCTTAAATTTGAGGGGAGATGTTAGTATATATATTTTATATTATTTTTTATTTAGATATTGACTATATTGCCCCTATGTAAAAATATATGTGTTAATTTTGGAATGAAATAAACAACTCTATTCTCCAAACCCAACATCTATTATGTAATATATTCCCTATAAGAGAGTTTTATTTTCTCTATATTCCAAACCCAACATCTATTATGTAATTATTTTTAGAAATAAAAGGAAATAAAATAATATCTAAGAAAATATCGCATAAATATGCAAACTTCCTCCACATATTTTAAATTTTTTTATGATATTTTTTAGACATCTTGACAAATTTGGTTTAATATTACGGTACATAAGTATGGTGCTTATTTGAATCAGTTAGTATATATACAAAAGAAAGGCTACATTTTTATATACCACAACAATATATTATATAACATAAAAAATATGTATTGTGTAGGTTATATATTATACTATTGTATAAATATATCTACAATGATAAAATAAATAATATATTATGCTACATGAAATTATATCATATGTTGTTAAAATATGTATTGTATATTTTACTATCATATGCTATCAGATATGTGCGGTCTGTCTTATATATATGTATTGACTGAGTCAAATCAAAATGGTGCTAATTTGACCCAATTAACATTACAACTGAAGCGACTTTACTTTATTTGCCATGGATTTTGTGCACGTGACTAGAATAACAATTTTTTAAGGAAATATTAATTTATTTTCATTGAGATTTTTATTTCCAAGATATTTCTTATTCATCTTTTTTTTTTTTATATAATGCTGTGTCACATGTTCTCCGATGTCTTCTTCATTCTCTTCTTTTTAAGCTGAAAAAAAAAAACCCTAATTCTCAAACCATCAATGGATTCTCTAATAAAGAAACAAAAATTGAACCCTAGCTCCATCAACCCCTCTATTAGTTTCCCCATGAAACCATCGTGGAAATCCTCTCTAGACTCCCCGTCAAATCTGTAATTCAATTTACCTTTACCTGCAAAATGCTGTACCCCCTTTCCACCGATCCCCTTTTTGTCAAACTACACCTCCATAGATCTAAAAGTTCCTATCTCATCATCCATTCTAGGAACCCCCTCAAAACCCACCTTTATTTTCTTCAACTTTCAGACCATAAAATGTACAAATTTGAAGCCCCATTTGCCTCTTCCATGTTAGAATTTAGCATCATCGGTTCATCAAATGGTCTACTTTATCTAATCGATTCTCTATTCCCAGAGCATACTTATCTCTACAATCCCTTCAAAAGGGAGATCTTTGAGATTCCAATTAAACATGAGAATTGTGGCCAAATTTTTATCCATGGATTTGGATTTGATCCTTTTGGTTGTGATTATAAAGTTGTGAAGATTTCATATTTCCGGGATAAGTATACTCATCATCTTAAGGATGAGTATAGAGGGCTTATACGGCATTTACCATCGGTAATTGAGGTGTATATTCTACATAGAAACAATTAGACAAATAACGGGATTGTTCCCTCCACAATAGAGACATGATCATCTCCAGGAGTTTTAGTGAACAATAGGCTTCATTGGGTGACCGTATGAGTGAAGAAGCCCAACTGGCAATGCCACAAGCGCTTGATTGTGTCATACAACTTGGTTGATGACACAACTGATGAAATGGCTTGTCCTTGTTCCGATATTAATTATATGTTTGATAGATGGATTATCAATCATTTGGCAGTATTGGACAAACGACTTTGTGCTTCAGTGCCAATGATAGACTGTGATGCATTTGATGTATGGGTTATGAGAGAATATGGGGTGGATGAGTCATGGGTGAAAGAGTACTCTATATGTATTAACTTTCCGCGGTCACTAGTTAGGCATATTGAGCGAACACACCATATTTGGCGGAACAGGTTTGGAAAGAAAATGGTGAAGGTGTTGGGCATCTTTGAGAGTGGAGAAGTCATTTTGGAGTATGAAGGAGAACGTTTGGCTGCATATGATACATGTAATAAAAGCTTCAAGGAATTGAAGAATAAAGTAATGCCGAGAATGTATCAGGCAATGTTTCACATCGACAGCCTTGTGTCTCCACATTTGGTATATTCAATGCTCAATACTCCACATTTGGTAAATTCTAATATTGTTTTAAATGGTTTATAGTAGGATTGAATGATAAATCAATTATTGTAATGACATTACTTCTTTTTCAATAGAAAGTCAACCTTAGTAGATACCCAATATCATCTTAATATGCAAACATAGTGTTAGAAGATGTTTCATGTTCTAACCTCCTTCTCTTGTAATAGTTTGCTTTAATTGAAAACTATAGAAATGTTTTCTTGCAAGTGATACAACGAAATGTAACAATATAGCATGTCTGCAATTTTTGAAGGGTGAAACGAACACTAATAAAGCAGAGGACAACACACCATAGGATTTCCTCAATCGGTCAAAGGTGCAATGTCATTGTAGATTGGCTTTGCAAAATAACATTTTTACTATTTGTCAAATTATTACAAAGTCAGTATGGTTAAGTATTGTGTTATTCTAAAAAAGGAACATATACTCTGCTTATATAGGTGATTTCACCGATACTTTTAATTTATTATTTGTATGTTTTATTTTCTCAAATTATCCAATCTTCTTAGTTTAATATAGCATAGATATATAAGATTGGTTACATGAATTGAAGTATGAGGGAATGCCAAGAATTTATCAGGTAACATTTCACATTGGTAGCCTTGTGTCTTTGCATTTGGTATATTTTACGCTTAATACTCCATATTTGATAAATTCTAATATTATTTTAATTGTTTCATAGTAGTATTGAATGAAAAATCTGTGGTAAATAAATATATGTAACAACATTACTATTTTTCAATAGAAAGCAACCTCAATAGATACCCAGTATCATCTTAATATGCGAACATGGTGTTATAAGATGTTTGATTGTTCTAACCACCTTCTATTGTAATAGTTTGTTTTATTTGAAAATTATAGAAAAACTATGCTTTCTTGCAAGTGATACAATGAACTGTTACAACATAACATGTTTGCAATTGTGCTGGATAAATAGGGTACGGACACTAATGAAGCAGAGCATGAGACACCATAGCATTGTCTCAACAGGTCAAAGGTGCAAATGTGATTATAGACAAGACAGACTTTCTAAATCAACATGTGAACCATTTGTCAAATTATTACAACTCAGTGTGTTTAACTATTGTGTTATTACTAGTGTATTCTAAAAAATGATTATATACTTTGCTTACATAAGTGGTATCATCAATACATTTTTTTTTATTATTATTACTATTTCTGAAAATCCTAACATGTTGAATTCAAATTATCTAATCAGCTCACTTTAATATAGCATGGATATATAAGATTGGTTACAAGTTATTTACTCCCTATAAAAGTAAATTATGAAATGGTTCATTATTTCAAAGGCATGACTTTTAAGTTGTATTCATATAATGCTAGAAACATACATTACAAACGAAATAATGCAATGGCTACATGATTTCATTTGAATGGTTTATTGACAATAGATAGATTTCATTTGAATGGTTTCTTGACAATAGATATACAATATTCATGAGATTACTATTTGGCTAACTACGAACGTAGTTGAGATTTTTATATATAAATTTGAAGTTCATCAATACATATATTGCTTTTCTAACTAGATTTAAACTATATCCTAAGCATAGTTATTCATTTTCTTATTTTCAGTGATTCAATAGCATAAGCTCATTACACGCTTATCATTAATTTGAAATAGATCATATTCGCTTTTTTTTTTCAATAAGTTTTACCTAACTTCTCACCTGTCAAATTTTCTTTTATTTTTTTTACAAAAACTTTTAAGTGAATACACACACTTAATATTTTAAGGTCTCGTATGGATTGCTTTTTCAAATGGACTTTTGATTTTTGTTTCTAAACAAATACTTTATACTTGTTTGTATTAACTTTTATAAAAAAAAAAAAAAAAAGAAGAAAATAGAAGCATTTTTAAATTAAAATTACTGTTACTCAATACTCCACATTTGGTAAACTTTAATATTGATTTTATTTGCTTTATAATAGGATGGAATAATAAATCATTATAAAATAAATAGTTGCAATAACATTACTTCTTTTGCAATAGAAATTTAACTATAGGTGATATACAACAAAATCATTTAATATGCAAACATAATGTTTTCTTTATTTGAAAACTATAGAAAACTTTATGTTTCCATACAAGTGATAGAATCTAATATATTTGCAATTGTGTATGGGCAAATTTGGTGCAAATAGTAATGAAGCATAGTACGAGACACCTAGCATTGTCGCAGTGGATCAAACGTACTTTATGCTTATAGACAGGCTTTGGAACTCAACGTGTACCCATTTTCAAATTTACAAAGTCAAAACATGCTTAACTATTATGTTATTATGAGTGTATTCTCAAAAGACAACATATGCTTGCTTATATAGGTAATATCATCAATAATTTTAATTTATTATTAGTATATTTTTTTAATTTTTCAAAATCCTAACATCTTTAGTTCAAATTGTCTATTATCTAGCTCGATTCACTTATATAATTTTGGTTGGTTATGTGAAGTTATTTACTATTTGTAGAAGTACATTATGCAATGGGATTTTGTTTCAAAGGCATTCCCTTTTAGTTAATTCTTATGATACTACCAACATACAGTCTAAACAAGGTAATGCAATGACTACAAGATTACATTTGAATAGTTTCTTGACAATGGATATACAATTTGAATGAGATTATTATTGGGCTAACTACTAACCTACTCGAGTTTTTTCATATATGAACTTATCTTTTGTTTGTTCATTAAGACAGATGAATTGAAAATATTGTTATAGCAAGGTTGGTTAAACAATTTTGTCACATTACAATTTTGATGCTCTAACAAGAATTGTCCAAATAGCTCCAAAGTGGTATTTTTTGGTTCAAAGTATAATCACGAATAAATCATAAATATACAATTAATATAAGTTAGTGAGATCTTAGGCACCAGACTCCCAAATCATATCAATGGCCGGTGACAGGGGCATCGCTAGCTCATAATGACTTAGTCACAATTCCTAGATCCACAAACCTAAGGACCCAACGAACCCTTGCTTAAATATCTGGATGTGACTACATTCATTCTTTCGCTCACCCATATATATTTGTTTAATTCATTTAAAAAACTTATTTATATTTACTTGTATCTTAGAAAATATTTCACAAAATCTCTTAAAACATACGAGACTCCTTTGTATTTTTAAAAATATTGTATATAAAGAAGTATTATTAGTAAATTCTATCCAAAAAAAAAAAATAAGAAAATAAGAAAATAAGAAAGAAAGAAAGAAAAATATTTAATTCAAAATTGAGAAAAATTGAGAAAAAAAAGATATAAATTATAAGGTCCATACCGTCTTTCTATATATTTATATACTCCATCCGTCCTAGCTACCGTGTCCAATTTTAGACAAGAGAATTTAGGAAATGTATAATTAGAATGTATTAGTGAAAACAATTATCGTATAATTAAAATAATTTTAGATCAATATTTAGATAACTAATTAGTCTAATTAAAATTATAAAAAAATATAAATTAAAAAATTTAAAATGAAATTAAAGTGTATAATTCTTTTAAAAAAAAAAAGTGACGGAATAAGAGGACAAACGAAAAGGAAAGGTGGACCTGGTAGGTGGGAGAAGGAGTATAATATATAGATAACAATAATTAATTTGTCCCACCAAAATATGTTAACTTTCTTTTTTTTTTGTTGTTTCGTCACATTACAGTACTTTCTATAAAAGACAAAAATTAACAAAGAAAAAGTATCATTAATAAATAATAATATTTTGTATTAAATTGTTTGAGTTTTTATAAGTATATTTATATTATTTGATATACATTCTCTGTTTTGGTCAAATTAGTATCATATATGTTATTTGACTCAACCAGCATATATAATAAATATAAACGACATATATTACATACAACATATCATATTTATAACAAAATAATATTGTGTTATATAAAATATGTATTTTCTATTTTTATTATATATGTTGATTGGTCAAATCATGATGTTGATTTGATCAAATCAAGAGTTTCGCATCTAAATTATATATATATTGTGTAAATATTTGTTATAGTGTATTTTATATATCAACACATGCCAACAAATCTAGTCATATTCATATTTATTATCCAAACAAACTCTAACTTTATCTAATTTGTAAATAGTTTATAATTCCAACAAATCATAATCATATTTTATTTCTAAACTATTTGTTCGATTATTTTAAATTATATAAAACAATTATTTTTTCAGAAAATAAATAAAAGAAAAAAAACATATAATAATGATTAGTATGCCCCCATTGAACCAATAAAAACACTAAAGAAAAATCAAAATTCTAAAAATTTGTATTTTGCATCTTTCAAGTATATACTAGTGATATGCACATTAAAACTATTTTTTATATATATATAATATTAATATTATACATAAATTAAATTATGAAAATATTATAAAATTAATGAAACTAACATCTAAATATCTAGTCTCTTATTTGAAAAATAATTTTTTTTTTTTTTTTATTTCACCCACCTACAAAAAAATTACAAAGATATCGTTTATTTGATTTTTTGTACTATTTAAAATTTATTATTTATATATATATATATATATACTATTATGATCTCATAAAAATAATATTTAAACTATTAACTAAATACGACAATATTTATTCATTGTTTTTTTCTAGTTTTATTCATTATCTTACTTTTTACTCACAATACATCGTCCCTCTTGGATGAATTCATCCATATACTGCCGGCGCTGCTGCTGCCATGAAATTCCATCCCCCGGCCAGAGCTCCCCAATCCCCTCCAGATTCCCGATTCCACCCAAATTCCATGGATCCGCCGGCGCCGGAGAATGTGGTCTCATTCGACTGCTCTTACCCCATCTACGGCATGGAGATTTCCACCGCCAACCGGGGCCACATCGCCGTCGGCAGCTTCATCGAGGAACTAAACAACAGTCGTCGTCGATCAATCTCCTCCCCTCCCTCACCTTGGAACAAGAAGGATTTGAGGTACATGGACACAACTTTGATATATGGACACCAACAAAATTGTGATATTAGACATCCTATCCGATCCCCAACGACAATGCCGGTGGCCGAATTGGAGAGGCACAATGGCAGCGTCAATTCAATTGCGTGGGCACCCCATGTATAGCTACCGGCACATATATATTCTCTGCCGGAGATGATCCTCAGGCCTTGCTTTCGGAGTTGCGTGGGTTCAGACCTTCTGTGGCTTGTCCAGCCTCCCTCCGGTGTTCGTCCAAGTCTCCGCGCCGATGCTCCAGAGGTGATCGGTTTTCTCTTCATCTTGGGCTTGGCGTTTTTCTTCAATATTAGATATCAGGTAATCCTCTGACTCACTGAATCCTCTAATCACTAGTGGGGAATGTTGGGAGTAATTCTGATTATGTATTTGGTTGATTATATAATTAGTTATATATTATAATTTGTCACTTATTCCATTAATTTCCTAGGTAGTTATGTCTATTTAGAATTCAAATTTAAAATTGTGTCTGTTAGTGTTGAAAGGTCGTGTCTATTAGAATTATAAGATTGTAGGCATTGGTCTTGTACGATGTATCGTAGAAATCATTTAGATTTGTTTTTGCATAATCCCGATCTTTGTGAATTTAATTTCTAACACTTGGTATCAGAGCCAAGTTGATGCCCAAGTATCTCAAACTGAAAAATATGTCGATAGAAGCAGAAGGAGGAAAGAAGGGGGTTCAGTCCCGTTTCAATGTCCCATGTTAACTCCGAAAAATTATACGACATGGCCGATAAAGATGGAAGCCATAATGGATGCTCAGGGGATCTATGACTCCATCGAACCACCGGCCGGAAAGGCGGTGAGCAATAAAAAGAACAAGATGGCTAGGGCCTTCATATTCCAAGCAGTTCCAGAAGACATCCTTCTGCAAGTGTTGAAGAAGAGGACCGCGAAGGAAATCTAGGAGGCATTAAAGACAAGATATCTTGGAGCTGATCGGGTGCAAAGAGCAAGACTGCATACGCTGAAGAGTGATTTTGAAAGATTGCGAATGAAAGACGGTGAGACAATAAATGAATTTGATGGAAACTTGAGCGGTATCAAAATTTAATAATCTTGGTTCAACAATTGAAGACAATACACTTGTTCGGAAACTTCTTGATTCAGTTCCGGACATGTATTTACAATTGGTTGCTTCAATTGAACAATGTTGCGACTTAGAGACCACGCCATTCGAAGAAGTTATTGGCAGACTCAAAGCTTACAATCTCGAGATTCCGGGTATAATCAACACAAGGGCAGAGACAAGCGCCACATAAAATATTTTAATTGTGAAAAATTTGGGCATTATGCATCAGAATGCAAGTCATCGTCGAAAGAGAAAAACAATGAAGTAAATCTAGCCCAAGCGCAAGAGGAGGAACCTGCACTACTTTTAAGTGTTTACGGGAAAAATGTATTGCTTAATGAAGATAAAGTGCTCCCAAATCAGATTGAAAGAGATGGTGATGATGTATGGTACTTAGATAATGGTGCAAGCAACCATATGACGGAGTGGGTCAAGTTTGTTTTGGTGACGGGTCCAAAGTACAGATTGAAGGAAAGGGATCCATCTTATTGAAGTGCAAAAATGGTGGACACGCCATCCTTGCGAAGCTGCCAACGCCAATAGCAACCGTATAGTTTCAAGTCTAGCCACCAGTGCAAACACTTCCTCAACGTCCACTCCTTGTCTTAGTGGCAAAGGGATATGTACAAATACAAGGAGTGGACGTTGAGGAAGTGTTTGCACCGGTGGCTAGACTTGAAACTGTACAATTGCTATTGGTGTTGGCAGCTTCGCAATGATGGCGTGTTCACCATTTGGATGTAAAGTCGGCATTTTTGAATGGCATTATACAGGAAGAAGTGTATGTATCCCAACCTGATGGTTTTGTTGTCACAGGAAAGGAAACATTTGTGTATAAATTACAAAGGCTCTTTATGGATTACGACAAGCCCCAAAAGCATGGAATATTCATCTTGACAGCACACTAAAAGTACTTGGCGTGCCCACAAGAGCAAGCTGTGTACAAGAAGTGCATGTCTAAAGATCTGTTGATAGTTGGCGTGTATGTAGACGATTTGATTGTGACCGGAACAAGTGAAAGTCTGATTTGTACATTCAAAAGGGAGATACAGAATATGTTTGATACGAGTGATCTTGGAAGACTCTCATACTATTTGGGAATCGAAGTTCACCAAAGTGAGAAAGGGAACACAATTGATCAAAGTGGGTATGCTAAGAAAATATTACAAACTGCACGAATGGCAGATTGTAATCCGTCGAAATATCCGATGGAACCAAAGTTACACTTATCTAAAGATGAAGAAGGTGTACCAACAAATGCAATTGAGCATCGAAGACTCATCGGAAGCCTAAGATATATCACTCACACTAGACCAGATCTCGGATATTCGGTGGGACTTGTGAGCAGGTACATGGCATCACCAAAAGAAAGTCATTATAAAGCATTCAAGCAAATATTGAGGTATATCAAGGGAACAATGAGTTATGGACCCTTTTATCATAAGGGAGGCAATGGAAGATTACATGGATACAGCGATAGTAGCCATGGTATGGATCCAGATGATCGTAAAGGTACAACCGGCATGGCATTTTATTTTTCGGGCAACCTTATCACTTGGTGTTTGCAGAAGCAGCGCACTGTCGCTCTCTCCTCTTATGAAGCTGAATTTATGGCTGCAACTTCAGCGGCATGCCAAGCATTGTGGCTACGTAACTTATTGGTAGACTTGACTGGTTGGGAAGCTCAACGTGTTAAATTATACGTGGATAACAAATCTGCCATATCCTTGATGAAGAATCCGGTCTTTCACGGAAGAAGTAAACACATTGATACCAAATTTCATTTTATTCGAGAATGCATTGAAGAAGGTTCGATCTATATAGAGCATATTAGTGGAAAGGAACAAAAGGCTGACATCTTGACTAAGGCACTACCCAAACTAAAGTTCTTAGAGATGAGAGATTAAATCGGAATTGAAGATCTGGAACACATGAAGCAGAATTAAGGGGGAGAGTGTTGGGAGTAATTCTGATTATGTATTTGGTTGATTATATAATTAGTTATATATTATAATTTGTCATTATTTATTCCATTATGTCTCTTTAGAATTCAAATTTAAAATTGTGTTTGTTAGTGTTGAAAGGTGGTGTCTATTAGAATTATAAAATTGTATGCATTGGTCTTGTAGGATGTAATAGTATACACACGATGTATCAGTCTGTTTCTTTTGATCATAGAAATCATTTAGATTTGTTTTTGCATAATCCCGATCTTTGTGAATTTAATTTCTAACAGGGAAGCCTGGTGTGTGGCTTGGTCTATTTTGCTTGGTGGTTCATTGCTGCTATCTGTTCTTTCTAGGTGAAATTTTCGATTGCTGGTTCCAGATTCTCTCAAATAATGGTTGTTGAAAAACCAATGTCCAGACAGTACAGTTCTTGGGTTTGCCCCCGTCATGATCCTTTGTAATAAATGTCTTCCATATTTACTGCGTACTACTATTGCTATTTATGTTTCTTTTATATATGTTTGTGCTTATGTTTATGTTTTTATTTGTGCTCAGCAGAATTTTATTTCCATCCAGCAAGCATCCATTTATTTGTTCTGTTTTGTTCTAGTTTACTGGGCCTGAAAGTAACAGTGGACTTGCTTTCCATATAAGGTTAGATTCATCGCTCTTTATTTATTTATTCATTTACTTGCTCATTACCATGGTTCCCATCCAAGTTGGAGAAACTGTATGATTGCTTGTATGCGGATGGAGTGTTGAAATACACACGTACTTAATGAAGATGCCGTGTGTTCAACAGCACGCAGCGACGTATATTGTCTATAATATGATAACCCGACACATGCAATGCAAGTTGCAGATATATGAAATTTTCATTTTGCAGCCCTCTCTTTGTGTGTGTATATATATATATATACATACATATATCATTGAAGTGGAGAGAGAGACATAATCATTGCTATGATGCCGCGTACAATTTGGTTAAATTATACATGCTTCTCGACATACTACAAGAAATTATCAATTTCGTAACGAGGTTTTTTCGTTCCTAAATTCACTTTTTCCGTTACTAATGAAATTAGAGAAAGAAACATACATACATTTAGGAGGCTATTATATGTAGTGTTTGTAAACTGGTTAGGAATATATATAGTAGTAGTAGTTGTTGTTTATCATATTATAACTATATATATATATATATATGTATGGATGACAAGGTCTGTTTGTTGGCTTACTATATATGTGAAGACTTCTAAATGTGATATTAATCATGGTTCTTTCATATGTATTGTCCATCTCTGCACTTAATTGTGTTCTTGTAGTATATGGACTTTGTTTGTCTTGTCTTCTCTGGGACAATAAAGTATTAATACCATAGGTATAATAAAAATATAATTAGTATTTTTTTTTTTTTTGCAGTTAAATGCATAGAAATGAAGGTCACACACTGCATTATTGCATTATTATTATTATTAATAGTAGTAGAAAATCATTAAATAAAATAATCTTTCTGTAACAAAAAAAATAATCTTTCTGTAATCTTTATTAATAGTGTTTTTTTCTGTAATTAGGGTGGGAAAATAGAACTTTCGAATTGAAATTAGATCACCTTAAACTATCACTACAAAAAAATAGCATATTAGTAACGGAATTCCGTTCCTAAAGTGTGTGTAGTTAACGCAATTCCCTCTCTAATTCCGTATCTAATGTCTTTAGTAACGGAAAAAGGGGATTTAGAGACAAAAAAATTTTGTTACAAAATTGATATTTTTTTGTAGTGTAAGTGTGTGTTCAGTTAGGCGACTGTATTTTATTTTTTTGGTTTTAATTTTTGGATTAACCAGTAAGTTGAATGTGAGTAAATAAAATATACTCATATAAAATTGTGAAGATTATGTAGTAAAGAAACAAAAAAAAATATATCCAAAGCAAGCAGTGCCATAACTATGCTTTTGGCTTACAGTAGTTTAAACAATTACTAGTATAAAATTTATTTATTTAGTCAACATAAATCAATCTAGAGTGCTCCAAGTGCCTTTTATCAAAACATAATAGAGGGACAGGACAACTTTGGAAAGGATGCACTTGTTGTTAAATACATATATATATATATATTTGCTTGGTATTATTTCAATTATTAACACAAGTTCTTGCAATTTTCTCTCTTGAGAATTACTTGTCTCCAAAGATAAATGTTCTAGTAAGATTGAATGTTAGAAATTAAGTATAATGAGGATGAAAGTGTCATGAGTCTTTGATGTTGTATTATGATTCCTCTCTAGTTTCGATGTGTTTAATTAGCCTATGATTTGAATTATTATTATCTAATTTCATATTTGAGACAGATTATTATTCCTAAGCATTGTTTTTTGTATGCATTTGATTAAAATTGATCACTTCATTAATTGTGTTTTGATTTCTTATCTATGCCTTGACAAAAATAAATAAATAAATAAATTATTTATCAGTGAGATTTAGCAAGCATGATTTCAAAAGAGAAGATACCAAAAAACCAAAAAGGTCAGCAGAGCCAATATGAATACATAGGTCAGGTTAGTATTTTTGAGCTTAAACTCTCACTCTTCTTCTTCTTCTGTATGTTTATAGCTTTGGTTAGTATTTTATGCATGTCCGGAGCTTAACACATTGCGTGTTAAATTTGAGGTGTTTTTGTGCTATTGTGATAGTAAAATATAAAGGAGTCTTGCAATTATGGTTAGTTCTATTCTATTATGCGGTGAACTAAATAGTGGATAAAAAATACATAAATATGTGAAGAACATGTAGGAACATAAAAATACTCCACTTGTGAGGCTCTTCTATGGCTTGGTTTGTCCAGTTACTTTTGTATATGAGTGCAGCAAGACAACCTGTTGAAGAAAACTATTTTCATTCAGAAATGTGTCCATGACCGATCAGAAAGTTTATGATACCATTGTAATATGATTACATGAGCTGAATTTAACGGAAAGATAGATAGATAATAAAATAATCCATGTGATCCAAACATTGATGGGCCCATACTGATCTCTTATGAGATAAGATACACCACAATGGGCCCATACTGATCTCTTATGAGATAAGATACACGACAAGATATTCTAATTCGTGCATTCTCATAATTTTGAATTTTTTTTTTTTTATTAAATTATAAGTTTGCATAATTAATTAAAATTTGTTGGAATAACAAATAATCTAATCAAATTCAGATTTATCGAGATAATAAATGATAAAAATATGGATAAAATTAGGGTTTCGTATATATATATATATTCGAGAAATTAAGCCAAAAAATTGTCGCAACAAAAAAATATTATGAGATTTTCGTCCAACATGGCGACGCAGGTTTGGAAAAACTCTCTTTCTTTTTCTTTCACTACAAAAAAATATCAATTTTGTAACAAAATTTTTTTTTCTCTAAATCCCCTTTTTCCGTTACTAAAGACATTAGATACGGAATTAGAGAGGGAATTGCGTTAACTACACACACTTTAGGAACGGAATTCCGTTACTAATATACTATTTTTTTGTAGTGTTTCTCTACTAATTATTTATTTTCGATTGTATCTTCGTTTTCTTTCTTTATTAATTTTTTATTTTCGATTTTCTTCTTCTCCAATTTTCTTCTTTACGGCTTGGTAAAGAATAAGAGGATGAAAATTTAAATTAAAAAATAATAATAATGATAAATGGAAATAAAGTGAAAGATGAGGAATGATGATACGGATGGGTGCAATTTTTTTTAAGCTTTTTTTTAATTACGAAGAGAATTAAGAAGAAAAATAAGATTAAGAAGGAAAAGAAGACAGACGAAATCATGAGGGCAAGAGGACAAGAGAAGAAGGAAGATGAAAGTAAGAGAATGTGAGGAGAAGAAAAAAAAGAAGAAGAAAGAAAATGCGATCGAATTGGGTTATATTTTGATCTTTTTATTTTTTATTTAAATTTATTTTATAGCCTTATTATATTTTATAAATTATAATTTTTCTTTGCCAATAAAAGAAATATGCAATACTAAGAATACTTAGAATTTATGTTTTTATATTTGATAAATTTATTGGATACTATATTATCCCTATTAATTATTTTCTTAAAATATAAGTTTTTTCTATTTATTTTTTTCAAATAGATAAACCAAAAAGACGGTATTTTTTATATATAAAAAAACACGAAAGAAAAGCAATGATAATTTTTTTTTTAATTTTTAATTTAATTTTGATACTCAATCCAGTTCCAATTAAATTGTGAAAACAAATGATTTAATTGCAAACTCATTCTCAGGAACAATCATATAAATAAGTTATAAAAACACACTTATATATTTTCCTTATTCAAATACACAAATTCCTCGACTAACTAAACACACAACAATTAAATACCACGACACAACAATATACGATTCATTCCATAAAAAAAGTTCAACTACAGCAAGAAGCCGCGCGACATAGCGCGCTTTCACGAGCACTAGTATATATATATATATACCCAAAGTAACCACACATACATTCATTTATTACAATGTTATGTATAAAATTTATGTTTATTAAAAATATCAAGGTTCTATTTATTTTTTATTATATATTTTATAATTTTTAGAAAAATAAATTATTATTATTTTTTAATAAATTATCACATCGAAAGTGTCATTTAGATTAAACTAAATACAACAAAAAAGTGGATGATATTTGAAATTTTTACCAATCTAAAATATCAAAGTTTATTCATATTGAATATAAGTTAAGAGTTCGTACTTTCTGAAAGTTATAAACAAAATCAAATTTGACCCGTTAAGGCTTAATAATTATTTGAGTATTATCTCAAATTCAAAACTCGACTTATTAGAATAGTTGACAATCCAAGTTCAAATCAAGTTCAAGTTTTAACGAGTTAGCTTTTGAGTAGCGCTAGTCACGTTAATTTGTTGCTAATCTAAGAGTATTATCTTTAATAGTAAT